CCATTTTACTTAGCCACTGGATCTGTCGTTTCGGAATTCCCTTGCGCTTGGTTTCTGACAATGCTTTATCGCTCACTGCTGAAGTTATAGAAAATTTGGCTACAGATTTGCAATGTAGTCATGTCCACACCCTCCCATATCGCCCTCAAGGAAATGCTTTGGTTGAAGCTTTTCACAAGACCCTAAACAAAACATTCAAGTTCTATCAAATGAAAAATCTGCAACTTAGTGTTCAGGATGCGTTATCATTTGCATTATTTGGTTATCGAGCTAGCATTCATTCTGCTACTGGTCATTCCCCCGCGTTTCTAGTTTATGGTCGAGACCCGATTTCCCCCTACTCGCAAGACTATCGGCTACACGGTGATGGATCTGTCGATCGTCTCGTTGCCCTCAACGAAATTCGCATGGACATTCTCTCAAATCTAGAGGTGTTATACAACTTCTCACGCAAACAAACTCCGGATCTAAACGGAAAACTCGAACTTAACGATCTAGTACTTGTTGCTCTGAACCCGAGTGAGATTTACCACAACTCAGTTTTAAGTCGGAATTCAGAAAAATTGGTTCCTTGGTGGTCTTTGCCTTTCCGAGTAATCCACATTTCCAATAATGGTTTTCGGATTTCGGTGCGAAGCCTACTCAATTGGACCACCAAAACGGTGTCTCGAACACAAGTTAACAAAATTAGCTTTCCAGATGACCCAAAACTGAAAGAGGATTGGATCCAACATCTCACCGCAGAGATGTCGAGTACCTTGCATCCGTCTTTGAACTTCAAGAGGCTTATGACGAAGTTACAGCGCCCGCAGTTGAAGTTAGTTCGGCCTGATTCTCTCAGTTTAGGAGAGGGAAACTAATCCGTCATTAAATCAACTGAGATGTTTCAGTCCAAACTGTGACTTTGTACAATAGTTTTGTAACTTCATCATGTTTCGTTCGTTTTCACACGCAACACCCTACCGCAAGTAACAAGAAGTCGTTAGGCGGCAGTGCGAGAGACATCCTGTATCCCCCCCCCCCACTTTGTGCGAACAGTCCGGGTGGTATAAGTTTTGCGATGAATAACCCAGAGAGCGTCACGATTATAGATGGGACGGCTTGCTTAGGCAAAACGTCCGTGCTTAGGAGAATAAGTCTTCAATACCCTAAGGTAGTGATTGGAGATTTGCAGAAGACGTCCGACTG